TCCCTCGGGTGAGATTCTCCCTTTCTCTCTGGTTAGATAGCAAAGCATAAGAGCATTAAAGTATTTACTTAACTACCAAGCAAATTTAGAAAACAAAGGTGTTTAGCTAATTGTATTAATCTGTGCAAAGTCTGTGCTTGGTAAACATTTGCAAGCCTCAGTGAGGAAAGGAAAGGAAGATGGGATCAATCACACCCTCTTTCTTAACGAATTTCATTGTATACATGATGTACAATGACAATAAAGGCTTTTATTATTATTTCAACATGCAAAAAAGCCAATTGTTCTGAGCTTCCTTCTTTTTGGAGAAAAGGAATGTTTTGATACGGATACAATAGCAGTAGCACTTATATACCGCTTCTAAGTGCTTTACAGCCCTCTCTAAGTGGTTTACAGAGTCAGCCTTTTGCCCCCAACAATCTGGGTCCTCATTTTACCCACCTCGGAAGGATGGAAGGCTGAGTCAATCTTGAGCATCCCCTTCTTCCTTCTACATGGAAGACAGCTCTTGAGGGCCTCCCGGAGCTGGAATCACAGAAAGGGCTGCCCTTGCCAGAAGCCTCCCTGCTGACCCCAACTGCCCTTTTGAAGGTTTAAGGAAGGAAACAGTCTGGCTTTTGGGCCAATGATGCCCTGTATTTTTTTTTTTAACAACTTGATTCCTGGCACAAATCATTTAAATTTGCCTTTTCTTCATTTCCTTGTTCTGTGATACTACATCACCAGGACTGATGCAACCTAGATCTAACAAAATTAGTATTTTGAAAATTCTCATCCAGTGTGGGGACTAGGTGCATAAATCTCTCCTCTCCATTTGGCAGTACTTCCCTTTTAGAACTAGATATTTAATGAGAGCCGAAGGGCTGCCGGCTGAGAGGAGTGGAACTCCTCTGTTGGGCTCCAAAACTGGAGCACAGATCCTGAGGGTCTTGACCTCCACTTCTGCAGTTCTTTGGAGAAGTTCTCTTCCCTGCATGAAAGGGAAGGGAACTCTTCTAAAGGGCTGCAGAAACAGGTCAGATCTCAAAGGTCTGTAGCTCCTTGAAGAAGTTCTCCTCTGTGCATAGAAGGGAGGGTGACTCCTCCAAAGAGCTACCAAAACAGAGGTTATCTATTGAGGATCTCAAACGAGTTCCCCCTTTGCACACAGAGGCAACCCCAAACTCTGATAGGGTGGAGAAATGAAGCTCAGATCCTGAAGATCCCAATTTTGTTCCTGCAGCCAGCCAGAGTAGTTCTCTTCTGCATATGGAAGGAAAATGAATTCCTCCAGCAGACTGCAGAAATGAAGCTTGGATTTCGGGATCCAAGCTTTGTTTCTGCAGTCCACCACAGAGGTTCCTTTCTGCCCAGAGGTGGTGGTGGGAGGAATCCTGTGGCAGTCTGTATAAATGAAGGTTGGATCCTGAAAATCCAAGCTTTGTTTCTGCAGGTTACAGCGAGAGTTCTTTTCCACTCATGGAGGGAAATTGCTTGCCCTCCTTCAGCAGGCAGATCTAGCACTCTGTCCTCTTAACAACTTGCATAGTTGCCTAATGACTGCAACGGGGAGAGCTGGGATTGCAGGCATTGAACAAAAGGTGACTTAATGACCATTTTGTTCAGTGTCAAAGATTCTGGTCCCAATTGTGGTTGTAAATCAAGAGCTACCAGTAGATCATGCCTAGGGATAATGACTTCTTTAGATTTCACTTCATCCTATTGTGATGGTTAGGCATCTTCCAAGATCATAGAACTCTTTCTGAAAAATATACTAACTAAATTAAACCTTTGAGTTAGATGCCTCAGAGTTACTAGGGTCATTGGGGTTGTCGGGGATTAAACAATAAGTGTGACTGATAGCCACAAGGAATGGTGCGGTATCTTGTGCTGGATAGAACTTAGCCTGCTGCAGCAAAGTTACTTTTATTATCTCATTTTTTAAAAATCAGAAAGCAATAAGTTTTGGCTATATTCTAGCTATTTTTACTATGTTTCTCGCATCCTCTAGGTGTCGGGTTAAAAATGAAAAGCCGAGTGGAAAAATTTCTGGATGTGTGGAACAAACTCCGATTATCCATAGAAACAAATGGTGAGACTCAAGCTTACTTTATCAGTCAAACAAAATGGCAGCAATGAGGAGTTCCTCAATACTACCAAAAGAAAAAAAAACATGTTGTATTATCTTTGGCTGGCCTTCAGAGTCTAGCCCACAAAGCAGAAGCTGTAGCTCTCTAGAATTTGCTGACCTCATGCATCCCTGATCATTGGCCATGCAGTTAGGGAGTTGGGGGTGGGGGTAGAGCTGAAGGAATTGTACTTCAGCAATAGGGGGGAGGGCACAATTGATGGCAACAAATCATTATATAAGCCAGAAGTTATCCAAAACTAAAATGGCGTATTCAACAGTAAGATGGTGCCTCTGGCTTCCTTCTCCCCTGCAGGTGAAATTAAGCTTCCTAAAGATTATTGCAGTATGGACCGCACTGTGAAAGATCCATTTGAAATCCTTTTGCCTCGCCGGAGAGATCTAGGCCTTTGTGCCACCTCCTTGGTCAGCTACCTCATTCAGTTGCACAATTATTTCATCAACACCATAGCAAAGGATTCAGCGGATGCCAATAGGTACCCAGTTCTCCCTGCAGCTGACAGATACCGCTGAATAAACAGCACGGTTGATTTTCTCTACTTTTCCCTTCTTACTTCTCAACAGATACTCTGTCAGCCCTGCTGAAGTGGCTGATCTGCATGTGATCAGTTATGAAGTCGAAAAGGATTTGATCCCAATCATCCTATCCAACTGCCAGTATAGCGTGCAGAAAGGAGGAGAGGCCCTGCAGGAGTTTGACCTGGAAAAAATTGAGCAGCAAGTTGTCAGTAGATTCCTACAAGGGAAGCCCACAATCACATTGCAGGTACGTGCAACGTGAACATACACTCTATTGCCAAAAGTATTCGCTCACCCATCCACATAATCGGAATCAGTTGTGAGCGAATACTTTTGGCAATATAGTGTATTTTCTTGGGGGGAAAATACAGGACAAACCTGAAAGAGGGACATCAGGATTAAAAAAGATTATTGTATACATTTATAATTTTGCTTTAGGGAAGAAAATTCAAGAGCAAAACCAAGAAAACAAAAAAAAAAAATTCTCCTGTGCGCTGCTTGGGGAATCCAAGCATGGGTTAACTTTGTCCATTAGCCTAGAGACTGAGTTACGTAATTGTTGACCATGCCTCCTCTGACTGGATGGGTCAGTTTTTTAACTCAGTCCAGCCTGAAGAGACGTACACCCATTTTCTCTAGACTAATCGACAAATTTCTCATGTTTTGGATTCAGCCATTGTTAGATCTAAAGGAGAGCTTTCTGAAATACAAGAGTATCCTTTTTAATAAAGGACATAGGGGGACTGTCAATATGTATCATAGAAACTTGCTATAACTAGTTAATACTCTGGAGTTTGTGAGATCAAACTGCTAGTCCAGAAGCTACTCTTACAAAGAACTGCTGACCAAGCTTCTGCTTTGTTCCATTTCTTAATAGGGCATACCCACACTGAAACACAGATATGACCAAAATTTTGAGCATCTGTTCAGCAATATCAAGACAAAGCTGAAAACTCAGGTGAGTTTTCGAAAAGAGGAAAAGACAAACAAATCTCACTATAATTCCATCTGGTGTCTATTTTCTTGATTGTAAACCATGGGGTACTCAATACGCATTGCTTATAGGAAGGTGAACGTTTAGTGTTCAGTTGAAGTGATTTTATCTATCCAGTGTTACAGATTCCTGGGAGTTTTAGTTATTATTTTGTAGAGGGGGGAAAATTTGGTATAGAGATTGAGCAATGGTGAAAGCAGCAGCTTGCTTGAATATGTGTGCAGTTGCTTGCAGGCCCTGAAGAGGTGCCAGATGGCATAAATGCCTTTTCTTTATAGAAAAATGTGCCAGGAAGAATGCTGGTTGATCTTATCTCCTTATGTTACAGAGCTCCCTTTCAAATTCTAAAATGGGCATGATCAGAGGAGACCTGGTATCGTATAGTGACATCTGTGAGGCACTCTCGGTCACTGAAATTATTTTAGGATTCCTGGCTACAACTGGAGGTGACTCACATATGACTTTGACTGATTACACGAAAAATGTCCTGCAGATGAGCAATCAGATAAGTCTTCCAGTGATGAAGGTGAGTGCAGGGGATCAGAGGCTCAATTTTCATCTCTGCAAGATGAAAGAGAAAAGCCAGTGAGGATGAGGGTATATATACTGTACGCATAGCTCAGTTGAGAAAAAGCAGCTGACATTTTCCTCACTTAGTTCTGATCTCTACTGTTTTAATCACAGAAGAAAGTTTCTAAGCATGTTTGTGAGTGGTAAATATCGGTCTTCTTAAGATTACAGTACAGAATTATCCTTTTAATTGGACTGTGCTTTGGTAGTATTTGGGTGGAAAGGAAAAGCGTATCAAAACTGATGAGAGACTAAAAAGATCCCTGATGGATCAAGTAAGTGCATTTCAAACAGGTTATTTACTTAAAAGCAGTTTATAAGTAAAGCAAATACATTCCACTGTTTCTACTGGCAGCCAATGGCCATCACGGCATCTTATAGTAGGACTTTCTAGGATTATTAGGCAAATTTATAAGTTGACCAATTATAACAACTATAAGCGGTTTAACGTATCTGGACATAAAATAAAGACTAAAACCCAAAAGATGTATCATCAGAGGAAACAGTAGAGATAAAAGCCCTCCCCCAACAGAAGACAAAAACCAACACTTCCTTTCGCCAAGCACCCTAACCTAATGCCTTGGAGGAAGAGCCATGTTTTTAATGCTCTTTTAAACGTTGTCAAGGTGGGCAGTCACATCTCTGGGGATGTTGAAACAGAGGATGCTGTTTCAGAGGATGGTGTCCTGACAAAGAAGGCTTACTTCTCAAGTGTTGCTAGATGAATTTGTTTAACTGGCAGACCCAGGAATGAGCCAACTGTCGTAGGAGACAGAAAGCTCCTCAGATAACTGGGCCCCATGCCATGTAGGATTTTAAGGTGACAACCAACATCTTAAATTGCACCTGGAAGCCAAGTGGTGGCCAGTGCAGTTGACAAAGCATGGGTGTTACATGGGCATAGCATACTTGCCCATCACTATTTATCTCATTGCAGTCAGGACCAGCTATAGCTTACAATCAGAGTACCGCTTCATGTAGAGACATTGCAATGTTCCATCTATGAGGTGACCAAGGTATGATTATAAGATCATACAGCTATGCCTTACAAACTTTGTAACTAAAGTATGGTTGTAAGAAGGGCCATCCTAGTCCATGAAGAGATATATCAAGTGCCCAAGATAAACCTGTGGGAAAGGCCCTCCTGGCCATCTGCTCCTCCAGGAGGAGCTGAGAGACCAGGAACCCCAAATTATGCACCAGACCAAGACAGCTTGTGCAGTCCTGTTCTTGGCAGAAAACACCGTTTCACAATTGAAAGAGTTTCAGATTTCAAGATAGAACACATCACTAAATTAATAGTTAAAATATTTAAAACCAAAACATTTTGTGTACCCTGGCCTCTAATTTTTTTATTGTATATATTTCTGCTTCACTATTTTAATTAGTCCTACTTTTTGAAAAGTCTACTTCTTTGTCCCTAGAAAACTACTGCCTTTTAGCAGCTGGAATATTGTTATAGTCACTTAGAAAAACCCCTTTCCTTTGTTGTAATTACCTAGAAAAATCCCCTTCCCCGGATAGCCCTAGACTGGACCAAGATACTGTGGTGCCATAGATGTAATCCAAAATGTACAATCTAGGTTCTCTTGAATTATAAGGTGTTGAGAGGCAATTGTTAGTGCAGAATGTGTACTGCCCTTTACCGTCAACTATCTCCATACAATAATTGAGTTTGATGTTGTGCTGCACAGAATTTACATGAAAAATGTTGGCAAGCGCTCTTCTCATTATTAAAAGATTTCTAAAATAAATTTATCAGAAAAGTTTATATTAATATTTTATTTAATTACCTAAATAGCCTTCCGTGAATGCCATTTGGAATTAAAGTTTGCTTTATCATTTGCAAAAAAAACCCTTTTATATTTGTGTGTTTGTGTGTATGTATGTTCCTTTTAGGCACTGAGCCGATGTCAGATAAAGCATGCCATTTCATTGTGGCAGCTCCTTTCTAGTCATAAATCAGAACAGCTGCTGCATTTGAAAAAGGTAGGACGTGGGATTACATATGTGCTCACTAGACACTTCTTGCCACCGTTTTCTCTCTCCTCCCCACATAACCATTTCTGTCCAATTCTTCCTCATAATGTTTTATCCAGGATCCGTTTGGAGAGATCAATGCAGCCTATAAAGAAGAACTCACAGAAAAGAGCACCGATCTTCTCAAAGCTTTCCTCACCCAGACAGGGCTGGAGCCCTTCCTTCAAGAGTTGCATGAAATGATTATGCTGAAATTGAAACACGCCAAAGTTGGAGAAGAGTACAATCCTACATGGGGGTAAGAGTGTGAGCAGCCCAATCCTTTGAAATACATCCTGTTCTGCAGAGTATCTTACTGTTTTCGGTTTATTGTTTCTCCTTTTTTTTTCCAGCCTGAAAGAAGTACTTATTCCATATCTTGAAGGAAAAGGTAGCAGTGAGCTTCAGGACTTGGATGATCTGTTCCCAGACGATATCCTGGTTTCCCAGTGTATCGCTGCCTGGAAAGTAACTGCTACTCTTAAACAAAGTGGATGCGGTCCAGGAAATTAATCCAGACCCTTTCCTATCACCCTCTATTCACTGATGAGTGGAGCAGTGTATTTAATTGCCAGATTTTCTTTATACTTGTAAAAAAAGAAATGAAAGAGATAACAAGCTTTTGCATTTAAGGTGATCCCAAATTAAAGGATCATGGTGCTAAATGTGAATAAATAGTAATGCACAAACCCAAAGGAATTGTTGCTTTAGATAATGAAGGATTTCTAGTGTAAAATACAAGTTGCATAAGGACACTGCATTCAAAGGAAAGTATTTTCATTGTTAGAGATTTCTAAAAGGACCATGTAATGTCTATAACTTTGGCTTTATAGACTTCATTATAAACTTCCCTCTTTAATCTGTTTAGAATTGGCAAGGGGCAGAGAAGCAATCTTCTTTCCCTCAACTGGATTTTCTAAATGCTACCAATATTATCTTTTTTAAAAAAAATCAGGGACCAGAATTTCTCATACATTGAATTGTCTACTTCTCTGAGACCTAGGTATCTGAGCAACTAGTTAGAATCAAGCAAGAATGTAAGTGAACCATCCCAACCATGTTTACTGATAGTATGAGGTTGCACTTCCTTTGATTTACTGATTTTTTTTCTAAGAAGCTGTGGATATTAATATTTTTCCTGTTTAAATATGATCTTGTGAGATAGACCAGTATCTACTACCATGTTATGCATTAAGCATTGTCATTCCAACCCTCTCTAGAACTTGAAATGGAGCTTGTGCTCTTCCTTCAATTGTGCCAGGGTGATGTCTTAATACAGGTTGCTGTACTGCCAGAGTATGCCTTGAACTTTTTTTTCCCAATATTCAAAAATTGCAATGTATAAAAATTACTTTCTAGTCTTTTTTTTCTTCTAATAAAAAATCTTTGTTACAAAGGTGTTCAGACTGTGTCCCTTATTCCTTCTATAGCACCTTGCAAGTATATCACCTTTCTTGAGCTGGAGAACATGACAATTTGTTTTTACTACTTGTCATTTAGTTAATTGACATTTAGCAATTCACCAAGCTAAAACCATTAACAATGTTACCACAGGGAGCTTTACACCACATCTTGTGGGTGCTATGTGAATGTAATCCATGAAGATAAGATACTTTATTTGTATGCCGCCCTTCTCCCTGGGGGGACTCAGGGCGGCTCACAGTTCAGGGGGAGGGGAG